TTATAATCTTCTGAAGGAAAAGTCAAGGAATCCATAAACACACAGTAGCAACATGGTTAAGAATGAAGTAGAAGAGGTATTTGAACCTATTCCCTAGGCCACTCATTGCCAGTTAAACACATAAAATATCCATTTGAAAATACACACAAATAAACCTGAGATCTGATATATATATAAACCCAACATGAGAATTATAATAGCCAACTCTGTTTTGTTTGTTTTATAAAAACTTACACATTAAAAACAAATTTTTTTAGCCCAGTAATAATAGGCTTAACAGGCAGAAGGACATAGAGCAAATAGTTAAGTAAAAGTTGACAAAGATACACGTCTGGGATCTGGTAAGAAGTTTCACAGAATTATAGCATTTTTATAAATATTAAATTCAATAAAGGCTCAATACCCTGTGAAGCTAAAGTAAGAACTCATTAGCACTTAAAAGAGGGAATCTATATGTTTTTCCAATTGTCATTTGTTCTTTATTAGGAAGAAATATTAAATGCATATACTTTTGTATATGTATATTTTTAATCTTGTTCCATCTTATTATTTAACACATTCATGAGAGCATAAAAGTAACAAGTGTATTTGATACATTGCATATTGGATTGATTCTGGTCCTGGCTTTGACATTGGTGAGCTGTGGAATGTTCTGGAAACAATTTACATCTCTGTGACAGTTTCCCCAGATGTGAAAGTATCAAGTGTCAATGGAGAGTGGTTTTCTATTTTTTTTATTTGCTGACATGTTCAAATATTAAACATTTTGAAGCATTTTACAGATCATATATTCTGATCTGTTGTGGCAATAAGCTACTTCCTGGTAACTAGAACTAAATTAGGCACTTTTGAAGGTTTATTTATATGTTTTCCAAGCATTACAACTCCATATGATAATTTGTTTTGCTGAAGTGAATTCACAAAGAGATTCTTATCTCTCATAAAGCGCCAATAAAATTGCCAGAGAAAGTAGAACTCACATGTAATTATCCAAATTTTTACTGTAAAGTTATTTTGCTGTGCAGAAGTGATAAACTACTTTATTAAGTAAAATTAAAGAGTTTGCTTCATTTCTCAATTTTAAACTTCTATTTTGACTTGTTGCTATTTACTTTCTGCTTTTGAAAATTAATCATTTCTTTGGTGCCTATTATATGAAGCAGCTATGATCACTGAAAAAATAAGCTTTAAATAAGAATGTTTTGTGAAAATCTTGCCAGATCCAAATAAATTAGAATCCCTAGTTTACTTTCAGAACAGGTGAAGGTATTACTTTTTCAGTTTTACATAGTATTGATGAGAAAACAGCTATAGTAGTATTGTCTCCTGAAACTCTCTCACCCATTATTATGAAAAAAAATAAAGCTCTCTGATCATTAATTTCTAAACCAAGAGTTCAGTCTCTAATTCACTTTGGGCACTGTTCAGCTTTGTTTAGCCTAGGTAAAAAGACTATGTTCTTTTGGAGTGATTTATATATCAGAAATTTGATGAAATTGCCTTATACTATTTAAATACATGTATCACTTTACTAAAAAGTGCTCATCAATATTTAAAAGCAGTGAACAAAAACACATAAAGGGAGTAGAAAATAGAAAACTGAACATGTCCCATGGCCATGGCTATTGTATCAGGTGATTTCAAATAGAGTGTCCACATTGTCCTCTTGAGAGTGGCCACTGGAAAAGCTGCTAGCCACACTATATACCCCTGGTGACCACAAATAAGGGAAGGCTAGCAACAGTAACTTCAGTCAACTCGGGATAAAAACTGTGGCTCCATGATAATTTATACAATAGACTAAACGGCATCTGAAAAGACCTCTCAAACATAATCCCTGCCCTATTTAACTTTACAAAAGAAAGTATTGATTTTTAATCTCTATAAGGTTTTCTTGTTAAAAAACACAGAAAGGGATCACAGAAAATTCTAAAATTTTTTAAGTTCCTTTTTGCCCACCAGTCTGCAATAAAGACAGTCTTGGTTTATTTATTTATTTTTCTTTCAAGGAGGGAGTATTCTCCTAGTACAAGTCATGCTCATGATCTGAGTGTCTGCTTCCAAAGGCTTGCAGTGAAAAGACCGCCTGTAATGATACAAAATACACACACAGAGATTCGCTAAGAACGGAACACCTCTCAAGTGACCCCATCCACCGTCTCTGCCCCTTTTGAATGCTGGTATCACCTTCAGCCCAAGTAGTTAACATTACCATCAGTCGGTCTCAAGTTGATTGTAGAAATTTGGAAAATTCTGATAATTTAATATAATTATAATCTAATTAGGTCACAGCTACCAAAAACTAGGGTAGTTTAATCATAAAGTTGATCAAATTAACATTTGTAAACTCCTTAAATCATACTCAACACCATCAGCAAATGAGAACTTGGCAAAATTACACAATTTAAAATATACAAAACAAAAGTAAGAATAGAGCTCCAAAAGAACATGTTGAACATCAAATTATTATTAACAAAGGATATTATTACAAAACTAAAAATGTCCAAAATATTTTGGAAAAATGACCACTTGAAAGACATCACAATATATCATCCTTATAATGTCCACAAAATTATGCAAAACAGTTCAGTTTTGCAAACATAACCAAATTCTCTTAAATAGAAGATAAAATAAAATTATCTTAATAAGTACCTTAGTTCCATAAAGATAAAGTCCCAGTTATTTTTTTCTACTCTTCATGTAAAATTTTGTTTCTTTTTTTATGGGCTTCTTAAAGCAGTAGGCTCTACTTATACTAGTTTACCTTAGAAAAGCAAAAACCTCCTACATTAAATTTTCCCAACCCAGTTCACTTACGTAACAGCCAAAGAGAACTGACATTTTAACAATCAAGACTCGTGTAGAACCTGAAATAAAATCTAGCTACACTAAATACCCATTCTTTATGTTCTTCGTGATTTGCTTCATCCTAAGGATGCATATTCTATATTATGTTCTAGTGACATTTTCCTGTTAATTTTAATGACATCCTTAATATCAGCACAGTGAATCTATTTACATAATAAGAAAACAATGGGGATACAAATATTAATTATGGAGTGATAACTCTCCAATTTGAAATGAGTATTTTACAGTGTTTATAGTATGTCGATTTATAGTATACAGACTTATAGCATTCTCACACTAGTTCTGAGAGATGTTTCTTCCCTGACTAGAGGACTGTTCATCTTCTCCCTCAGTTTGAGACAGAACACCAGGGAGCCAAACAGTCTTGAATTTACTGGAGTACATTAAATGGAACTCAACAGTAGTCAATGGAAAATTAAATTCAAATATTTACAAGAAGTGATACAAAGGACTGAGATTGAGATACAACAATAGAAATGAAATAGAAGAACAAACAGTTTAAACAACTCTGTGTATGTGTGTGTGTTTGACAACGAGTGGTAGAGGAAAAAGATAGAAAGCAAACTCAAAAGTGACACTGATTCCCACCTGGGTACCTGCCACAGTGACATTGCCAGTAAGAGAAGTCAACTGAGGCAGACTGTGCTTTGGGGATACATCTGGCAAGCCAAGTATGAGAAGATAGATAAATACTCAAAATGAAGTACCTAACAGAATGTTGGCAAATGCATGACTGAAGCTAAGGGATCCAATTAAAGCTAAGGAAGTAAACTTTGAGTCATCCCATCCCAACAGTAAATAAAAGGAGCTAGCCTAGTAAAGGAAACTAGCATTGTGTTCCCGCCAAGGGCCCAGCACTGTGAAGTCAACTACAATGTGCATTCATTCATTCCAATCCTTGATGACTTAAGAGGTAGGGTCATTAGCCTCATTTCCAAATGCAGAAAGCAAGCTCCACAAAAGTTCAGAAAAATTTATCAAGGAACCGAGGCATTCTGAGTTGTAAGCTGTAGTACAGCAAGTTCTCATCACAGTACTCTACTGCCTCTTTAGAATAATATCGTGGAACATGAACAAATGAAATTTCTAAGCAAGTTACAATGTGCACAGAGGGAGAAAGAGCCTAACACAGGACTCTGAACTTGTCACTATCCTACAGAGCCTTAGAGCCTTCCAGCACTGGGTACATTTCATAATGTTCCTAAAAAGTCTCAATGAAAACACCTATATAGCTGTTAAAATTAGTCACACGTGGAAGTTATCTTCGGGGCATATAACTAAGTACAACAGGACAGTGAAATAAAACTCCTCCCATTGCTAATTTGTTTCTACCTGCACTGCTTACTCTAGAATTACCTATGTGTAGTGCAAATAATCTTTACTCTGTATGAACGATCTTACCGAACAAGAATTAAATCACCACACTATAGAACAGGCCTGAGCTTTAGGAACAAGGCAAAGGTGGGCACTTGTCTTGAGAGTGTCCTGTTTGGAACCTCTTCCCACAGCAAAACGCTGCAAACCAAATAGGGCTCCTCAGCCCCTGCGGCAGGCGGAGCCTCTGACACGCTTTCTTCCTGGTGTTGCTCTGCTATTCCCCCAGCTACACAATTAAATGCTATACTAAACGTGACACTTTTAGTCTTTCACAGAAATCTCTCTCCAAAATTTTTATGGGTTCTTCTCCTAGGAATTCTCTTAATCTGTTGTTCACTCTGCTTTGTCTGTCCATAGACCAGAGAAGATGAGACAACCTAAGAGTAAATTTTCTTCCATCTAATTTTTCCCCTCATTTTTTTTAACTTCAGGAATCCTTCTCTAATGACATCCTGATAATACTCTAGATAAAGCTCTTTTACATTATCCAAACTAGTCAACTCAGCAACACACGTTCAGATTTTAATGAAGAAAATGAAATGACATTGGTTGCTAGGTTGAATTACAGTTTTCCAAACCTGTCTTCAACCAAATAAGAGCAGACAGGAGAGTGAGTTCAAGAGTCCACAAAGAAGACTTTCTTCTTTGGGATTTGGATGGATTTTCTCCACTTGATAAAATTTCGTTAAATAAAAAGTTGAATTCCAAAAGGAAAGCACATGTTTAAAGAGAAAAATCTGCATTAATTCACTTACTGAAATGACAACGACAGGATACAAAATGGAAAGATTACTCTCTTTAAGTATATTCAGTAATTTCTGGGTTTCTTCAAATTCAGAGGTCATAACCTGAAAGACCAGACAGATAAAAGGGAGTTAAAAGAACTTCTTAAATGATTTAAAAGTTAATTCAAGGAGAAAACATGCAAAACTTTTATGTAATCATTCAAAATGTGTATAAAGCTCATTTTTTAAATTTTAATCTATTTTAAAGACTATCCATAAGTTTATAATTACTAAAATTTGTACTATTTATTCATTCATACCTGCGTAGCCTTATAAACAGAAAATTTACATGCTGTCTAAAGATTATTATCATCTCTTCATCATAGGAAATGGTATTTTCCTGTCTCAAAAAATGAAAATAAAGTTTCCGAATACATATTAAAAAACACAACTTATCTATCAAAATCTTAAAGTCGAACATTTAATAATCAAGAAACATCAGGTCTCTCCCGCATCACGTTTCTAAGACCCCCAAGTGATTTCAGTCATTTATGTTTATGACTTACGTTCACACAGACAAAACTGTAGCATCGCTCTGACAGGACTTGCTGAAGGTCTCTGCCAGCATGACACAGAGACACAGATGTGACTTTCAGATGCTATGAGAAAAACAAAATAGAGAGAAAAGAGTTTACAAATTAGATGGGAAGACCAAACATGAGCATAAACAACCAACTTTGTTACAAATGAGCACAAAATTGCTATTGGCACATAGAGCCAAGGACCACATGTAAGTTAAAACAAAATAATTTCATTTATGACACTATCAAGAAAAAGGAATTTGAACCAGCTCATAAATAAATATTGTCTTCAGCAAACAAGGATATTGAGAAATTATTTCAGATAAGAAAAAAATGTAGAAAAAGCACAGGGTATATTATGGTATAGGCAAGTAGCCCATTTTTTTCTTATACAAAGAATGTTTGCAGAGAATGTTGGAATAAAATTAAATGGTTGGTTAAACAGGGATTGTCTGACAATTCTGGAAGCACGTTAAATTAACTCTAGTCACAAAGAATAGGTTTAACAAAACCTGGAATGACCAGAAGCAGAGAAATCGAAAAGAAATGACCATAACAACACATGATAGAGAAAAAGAGCTGATCTAGGATAAAAAGAAGAGACAAAGGGATGATTACCAATGCTGGTCCCGGGCTAGACTTAGAAAAAAATGGTACATATATTATTACAACAACTTACATAATATGATTTTTATCCCATATAGTTCAATATTCTAATTAATTTCTATTTTTCCTATTACAAATATATATATAAACAATATAATTACTAAGCAAGGGAACTTCTATAATATTATCTCTGCTATAATAGGAAGTTCCACAGGAAGTCACATTTCAGTAGTTACCACTGGCATTACATTTAGAATATGGTACAAATTTGTATCTAAAACACATTTTCACGTTCCTTAGTAAAGCACAGAACTCTGTAACTCTCAATTTTTTCCAATTAAGAATGCACAATTTAATACATATACACATATATTACATGAATGTGTATATAATTCCTATTAGATTAAATCCACAATTGTGAATTTGTCATTAAGGTACTTTAAATCTACTTACATTGTATTCAAATCTTAACCATCCGACTCCACACTTCAACACAAATACTCTTAAACTCTAAGGCCCTTTTCCTGTTTATTGTCACAAACACTGGGCTTATTCTAGACTGTGATGGCCATCCCATATTCTTGTTCCCTTATTAAAGCTGTTGTAGATACATATATATATTTCTTAAACTCAATTATTAACAGTTATAAATATAACATAAGCTCTTAGAAAATAGGATAGGTATAGAAAGCACAGTGCCCAGCCACAATATTAGTTATTATTATTATTAAAATGTATTTGCTCAACTAGTATGTGATAAATTAAAAATTCCAATTAAAAGATAAAGTCATTTACCAACGAATGCCCACAGACTAAGGCAGAAATACATACAATATTTTTACAAAAGGTACTAAATATTAGCATTTTTGTAACCCCTTTGGAAAAAACCACAAAAACAGAATTACAATTTCTTTCCTTCTTGAAATTGAGACTCTTTTAATAATCATTTCCAGTCAAGCGCAATTCTTTTATTTGGTCATACTGCTTTCCTCCCAACCAGAAACAAACAATATTTTCCATGCTTGAGTAAAGAAATTTAGATTTAACCTAAATATAGCAAAGGAGCCTTTGACACCTTTAATAAACAAAAACTGCATTAGACAATGCTATTAGGTTGTTTATGAAAGAGCTCTGTGGCACCGTCTTCTGCTGTCATTCCCAATGTCTCCACACTCAAACACAACAAATGGAACAATCTGCGGGCTAGAGGAACTCCTCGTTCTGTAAATATTTTGGTTCAAAGAACATTTAAACAAAATTTAAAACAACCTTCCAATGTGTTCAGTAAAATTAAAGAAGTGTACAAAAATAAAATAAAATATTTTCTTTACATCATAACAAATAAAAATTTAGAAAAGGTTTAGTAGTAACTAAACGCAAATATCTGCATATGTAGAATACTATTTAAAGCATGAATTTTAGGAAGGAAGATAGGTTGTCAAAAAAATATTTTCCATTTCAAGAAGAGTTAAGGCTTAACTAAGGCTGAAAGCCTTTGGTTTGAGTCCCATGAGTCAGAAGTTCAAAAATGTGTTTCACTTTTTACGGACAGAATATGTTGGCTGGATCATCTCTGATTGTTAATCCATCAAGTTTTCACCTCCCTCCTGTTCAAACAAATGGCACGAATGTGGTATAAACAAGGCAACTGGAGAAAGATGCACTTTGGTCTTAGGGGCTGGGGTGTGGGGGATGGGAAGACAGCCATCTAAGGGTACTCAGTTTCAGTCATGTAAGATGAATGTATCACATAAGGTCCAATGAACAGCACAGTGACTGCAGTTAACAATACAATATTGTATACTTAAAATTTACTAAAAAGGTAGACCTTAAGTGCTCTTACAAAGACAAAGAAGGAAGGAAGGAAGGAAGGAAGGAAGGAAGGAAGGAAGGAAGGAAGGAAGGAAGGAAGGAAGGAAGGAAGGAAGGAAGGGGGAGGGAGGGAGGGGAGGGAGGTAAGAAGGAAGGAAAGAGAGAGTGAGGGAGGGAAGGATGGAGGAAGGGAAGGTGGCAACTATATGAGTTGGTGGATAAGTTAATTACCGTGACTGTGATGATCATTTCAAAGTATATATGTATATTGAAATAGCAGGTTGTACTCCTTAAATACATATAATTTTCATTTGTCAAGTGTACCTCCATAAAGCAGAGGGGGAGCAGGGGCAGTCTCTGTATTGCAAATTCAGATTTTGGGAGGGAATCTTCTGTAGCCAGGACTGCAGCCAACTGAAGGCTGAGTCTAGGCTGCCAGCCCATCAGTCACGGTCTTTATCAGAGTTATCTCTGGCTTGAGGGTGCTGTGTCTGGACCTTCCGCCAGAGCCTCTCTATCTCTATTTTTAGAAACTGTCACCTGAGATACTCCTTTAAGTAGTCACCAGTTTCAAATTTTGAGTTGCCAATTAAAATGTACTTCATGGTTATTTTTAGACTTCTGTGGAAGTTTTGTTCGCCTAGGATTCAACACTTACTATACTATTTTTATTTTTTATTTTTTAGAATTAGCTCTAAAGCATCTTTTTGAAATTATAAGCATGACCTCTGGATGTAAATCAAACTCTGCAAAACACCTGCTGTGTGACTGTGGGTAAATTCTTTAAGGCCTGTGGCTCAGTTTATTCAGTAAAAAAGAAATACTTTAAAACTATTAGGAAGATTGATTAAACTAATATGTGCAAGTTAAAGATTAATATTTCTTCTAGGAGTCATCCCTATAGGTTAGCCTCCTAGAAAGCTTCAGAGAAAACAGCCACAGTTCTAAGGAAATGAATCTTGGCAGAGTTTTGAGGTAATAAATGAACCAGGTTCCTATTCTGTCATGTTCAATGGATCTCCAACCATGAGCACTGAGCTGCGGATCGTACCAGTGGCCCCCACAAGGCTCAGACTCTAGCCTGTTCGATACTCCAGAGAAAGTCTTGATATTCTCCCAATCCTAAACACTGGACAGGCAGAATAGCACTAAACCAAGGTTTTGCCATGTTGCTCTGGTGTTGAATCCCAGGGGAACAGGCTGGTGATTCTTCAGTAATGTAGCTTAAAAGCCACACTGCACAAAGATCAGTGTCTAACATTGAGCCCTGAAGATCCACTGGCAATGCCAGCACTGCACACTGTCTCTGTTCCTGAGACTGTGGACTTTTCATCAATAATCACTGTTCTAGAAAGTCTAATGTCTAGTGTGAACGCTGTCATGTCGATTCATATTTGTCTGCTAATAACCACCCTTGCACATATTGATATATTAAATGTTTGCTATTATTAGTCTACTCATGTTCATTGATTTTTACCTCCAGAGAACATTTTAACACATTGACATATGATACCTTCACATTTTATACCTTGCTTTTATTGATGGCTTTACCATTTGTTTATTAAAGTATTTCACACAGATTCTGACAATTATCTTACTGAAGCTACATAGCAAATCTATGCAAATAATGTTGCATGTTTAAAGTATTTAGCACCATAGCATGTTACAGATAAAAACGCTGAGACACTGAACTTTAAATAATCTGTTCGAGATCATAGAGCCAATAAGGCATAGTACTCAGATGAAGGTCTACTGGAACCTCAGGTCCACATACTTAACCTCTGAAGTCCACTGGGTCTCAATGAACTTCAGACCATTGACTGGGTGTCAATGTCCTCCAGGTGACTACTACCTCGTCATGGGAGTCACAAGACCTTTACTTAGAGCAGAGCGCTACCACAGGTCCCAGAGTTGGCTGAAGAGACACACCTCATCTGGAGAAAGCCATCTGGGTACTACAAAGCTTAACTGCTTCCATACACACTCCTGTAACTCAGATCATTTTTCTGGGTCCTGGAGAGGGAAGAATGAACCTAATGAACCTAAGAAAGTCCTCCTGGACATTCAGATTTGATCCTGGAAAAGAGTCAAGTGCTCTGAACCACTGCATTCCGTACACATCGAGCACCTGGTAGTGGTCACAAGAGTGATCACTGTGGTATTGCTCCCTTGGTGCGGCCCTCTCCACTGTTAAAAGTCCCTTCGAAGGCCAAGTACTGTTCTGATGCAAAACTACAGGATTGCAGAATGGAAAACAAAAGGCTTAATGCTAACAAACCAGAGTACTATCACAAAAAAAACCTCAAAGTTCCCATTTTATCATGCAGATCATTCATCCAAAGCTAGGTAATGTGTAATCAAAAAACAACTACTAAATGTACATCTGCTCAAGTTTTTTTTTCCCATTGAGTTTTATTACAGAATACTGTACTACATATTACTAATGGACAATATTGTAATAAGTGAAAAGTGACTGAGGGTTTGCTCATATAGACCATGTTTGGCAGGCATATTTTATAAAAATTATCTGTTTTTTAATTCTATAAATAACAGGATGAAATGTTGAAAATATATATGTAGCAATAAACCTCTTTTTGGTTCTTAGTAATGCATAAAATATTTGCAAGCTGAGACTTGGCAAGGTGACATAAACAAATTTT